TACACAAATATAAAGATTTTGGGATCAAGCTTCAAAAATGGTACTTATGTTCATATGACACAAAATTTTATTCATGAAGTGTTATATATACTCAAATGAGAGTAGTAACATGAATACAATGGTTCATGATTCATAAAAGTCGGTTATATGACCATATGAAAATGGGTCGTCCATGGAATTCCATTTGAACATGTGAATTAGGTACGTAGTAATAATTAAAGAAAAAGCTACCAACACAATATATACTACAAAAAACATAACACATCATAATGAACATAATTTCGATTAAAACAAGTACAATAAAATATTAATCCATTACTAAGACATTCGCTTTGGTTATTTTTTTCACTTCACGAACTCGAACTCCTATTGTCACCATAAACCATTTTAATCTTCTCAATGTTGTCGAGTTCTTTTCCAATGTGTTTATCCATAATAGCTTGAACGATACCAAAGATTTTACTACCGTGTTTCCTCCTCGAATCACAAACTCAAAAAACAATAAAAATGGAAGATCAATATTAAAATAAAAATAAAAATATCAATATTAAAAATGCACATTTTTAGGGATTTTATGATTTTGTAACTCTCAATTAATGATATGGGAGTTACATAAAAAATGAAATTACTCAACTACCCTTGGCATTAAATTGTAAGCTAGATAAAAACCTAATAAGAACATGGATTGTGATTGGTTGAAATGGTTTGTAAAGTTAACACAAAACATTTGGTTAATATTTGATCTTACCTCCCTATATATATTAAGGGTATATTGGTCATTTGCATTGTTTTCTATTAAATATGAAAGTTATTAATAAATCTTAATTAAGGTAACATAATAAATGAAATTTTATAAATTGTAACATTTAAATATTTAATTAAATTATAATATTAAAAGTTGGATTTTGTTATATTGTGTATCGTTTTATTATTGCCAAGATTCATGAAAATCGTAATTTATTAGATTAATAAATCAATTAAATCAATAATAGAATGAAAAAAAAATATTCATGAAACCGGTTTCATACATGGTGAAATTGGTGCATGGAGTAAATGAAAAATGATTATGGAATGAGTGCATGATGAAAACGGTTTCATACATGTTGAAATTGGTGCATGAAGTAAGTGAAAATGATTATGAAATGGGTGCATGATGAAATGAGTACAACATGAAATGGGTGCATCATGAAATGGTAAATGCATTGACTCTATGAAACGTGTTCGTATTGGAAGAAATTGGCTGATGAAATGTGTGCATAAAGAAAGTGAAACCATTTCATAATTGATAAGAAAATGTTGTGTAATTAGCGAACAGTGAAACAATTTCATTATTATGATGAAACGGATCCATCTACCAATAACATGAAAATGACAAATGTCTCATCAGACATTACGTTGATTAGTGTATTGATGAAACCGTGAAACCATGTCGGATTGCAAAAACTTTGTTGATGAAATGGGTGCATAACGACAGAGAAACCATTTCATAATTGTTAAGAACATGTTGTTTAATTAGCAAACAATGAAACCATTTCATAATTAGATTGAAACGGATTCATCTACCGGAAACTTGAAAATGACAAATGTCTCATCTAGCATTACGTTGATTTGTGTATTGATGAAACTGTGAAACCATTTCGTTCATGAAATATAGTAGTAAATTTATTATTATTATTATTCAAAAGGTTTTATTATGTTAGATTATAGTGTGTTTTATTTTTATTGTTAATCTATTTTAACGATTGATGTTATTTTTTTATAATATTTGAACATAAAATTAATATACTATTTTACAAATGATTTTGTTTCATTAATATTACGATATACATGATATGGTTGCCATTAATATCACCACTACCAAAGTTACCATTTTGCCCTTTTTGGGATTATAAAATAAATTTTTATTTCTTATTTTTTTAATTTCCTAATATAACCTAAACTAATCTTGACCATTGATCAAGAAAATGGATGGATAAAATTGGTTTATATGGTTTACACAAATGAGGATGATTTTCATTTGATCGCTCATCTCTCTCTCTCTCTCTCTCTCTCTTTCTATATATATATATATATATATATATATATATANGAAATGGAAAATCGGTGAATAGGGTTAGTAAGGAATCGGTTTGTTGGATTTGGAAGGGGAAGTGATAAGCCGAAGGGGAGAGAGAAGCCAAGATGAGATCGGCTTGAGAGGGGGGGGGGCGATCGGTTTATGTTCGAAGGTGAGGGTTTTTGTGTAGCTAACCGACTAGAGTAGAGAGAGGGGAGCCGAAGATGGTAGGTGGGAGGCCGATTGAATCAGTGAGAGGGGAGAAAGAAAAAGAGGAAGCCGAGAGGAGAGAGCCGAACGGGGAATAGACCGAAGAGGGAGAGGCAGATTGGGTGTAAAGGTCGGCTAAGCAAACCGAAGGGGGTGGGGGTGGGATTTGGCTTGTGTGGTGTGAGTTTGAGATTGGTGTGGCAAGAGAAGGGGGTAGATCGATATATAAAGAGGGAGAGTAAGATCTAGGGTTTTGAAAAGTGAAAGGGTGGGCCGAAGGTTATGGGCCGAAGGGGTGTGGGCCATCGGCTTATGAGATAGGATGGGAGAAAAGGGATAAGCCGAATGGTGTTTGGGGGGGGGATCGGTGTGTGTGAGGCGATCGGTTTGTGGAAATTGGTTTGTGAGAGGGAAAGCCGAATGAGTGAAGGGGTGGTGATCGGTGTGTAGTTTTGGAAGGAGATGAGGGAGGATCAGCTGGGCTATTCGGTGTGTTGGAAGGAGAAACCGAAAGGAGGTCGGTGAGAGGGAATTGTGAAGATCGGTTTGAGGTGGTCTAGGCCGAAGGAGAAGGGATTTGAGGGAGAAGCCGATGAGGTGGTAAAGGGGGTGAGGATCGGCTTATTGGGAAGGATTATGATCGGTGTGAAGGTTCGGCGTGAGGGGGTAGGAAGTCGAAGGAGAGAATCGGCTTATGGAGAGAATCTGTGGTGTGGGATCGGTCTGTGTAAGGGAGCGGCGAGTTGGGGAGGGATCGGCTTGGATGATGTAAGAATCGGCTTAGGTTAGGATTTAGGAGAAAATGATGAAATCATAGAAGGTAAGGGATGGGCTCAAAAGAGAAGAGGTTTGGCCCAAAAAAGAAGAGGCCCTCAAACTTGTAAAAAAATAAAAGGATAAAATAAATTAAAATTTTAAAACCACTACACACAAAAATAAAAACTTTTTATCTTTTTATATGTTTTTTTGATTTTCAAACATAAAGTAAATTTTTAAAAAATACTAAAAATCATTTTTTTAAGAAATTCACATAGAGATTTTTAGAGAGAAAAAAAGAAATTGATTTTTAAGGAAAAATACACGAGTGTAAAACCCATCATTTTAAAAAAAATCAATATTTTAGAAAGAGAGAAGCATACACTCACACAGATACCAGAAAWTTTTTGAGCAAATGACACAACAACATTTTTAGAGAAAACACAACCCAAATGAATTGGTGAAAACTCAAAAATTATTTGTCAACATTTAACATACCCAACTCACTNTATATATATATATATGAGCGATCAAATGAAAACCACTTCAATTTGTAAAAACCGTAAAAACTACTCTCATCCGTCGACTTTATTGTTTAATCTTATAATTTTTTTAATGAAATTGTTTAATCTTGTGAAATTGTTTCATATAATACTTTTTTTGATGAAGTTTTATATATGGTTATGAAATTGTTTCATATACTATTTAATGAATTTTTAATGAAACTGTTTCATATATTTATCTAAAATTAAAATAATGAAGATGATAATATCCATGATTAACATCCTCCACAATAAAAATTATTAATCAATCTCTCATAATTACAAAAAAAATGAACAAAATGAAATATTATGATTTATGGAATAAAGTTTTTACAAATTGACTGGTTTTCATTTGATCGCTCCCCTATATATATATATATATATATTCAGTATTAAGTTTGACAAGACTTTAAACTAAAACATATCAAGACATGGCTAAAAATGGGTTCCAAACCGGTTCCAAATCGGTCTTTCTATAAAATCAAGTCAACCGGTCCCGATTCAAAAATCCTAGAACTAATCCTAGGCCAAGTAAACCGGTCCAATTGGGGTGCCTGGTTTTTAAAAAATTCTCTTTGCACAAAATTGTTATAAATGGTTTTTTTTTAATTACGATTTTCAAAATTTAGCATTAAAATACACTTTAAATAATACATTCACTTAAAATACTTGTATTATAATTAATAAAAACTTAAAATAACTGAAAAATCAATCTTAAACATAACCGGGGTCCCCTTTCCGTAGTTGGTCCCATGTCGGGCCTTGATAACCGCTCTCAAGAGTCAGGCCCTATTTCTCTAGGTAAGATACAACAGACCTTTCTTTCACCCCAAGAAGTAGAAAAGTTGTTTCCGTAAAAACCCCCGTATTGCGAAAAGTTTCGCATAGACAATATAAGACTAAAGGACAAAAATGATCGGAAACAATTCCAAATTCCATAATAAAGTGAACAACTATTCACATTTCATCCGTCTAAAGTAAGTTGCAAACATCTTGTTACCGGTTTAACACAGTATATTCCACTTGAAAGTAGGATCTAAGAGATAAATGTACATGAACCTTTTCTCTACCCCAAAGGTACAAAAATTGTTTCCGTGAAAACCCCAGGTTTACAAAGAAGACCGTCAGACAGACAGACAGACAGACAAATTATCAACAACATGATGACCAAATTGGTAATTTTAGTACCAATGTGACCTAAACCGAACAACTATTCACAGCTCATATTTCCAAAGAAAGTTGCAAACATCTTACTATTTTAACACCGTATATTCCACTTGAAAGTAAGATATAGCAAATAAACGTAAATAGACCTTTCCTCTACCTCCAAAGGGTACACAAATTGTTTCCGTGAAAACCCCAAGTCCACAAAAAGTTTTGTAGTGACAAATCAGACCATCAGACTGACAAAAACAATCAACAAAAGAAGTTGCAAATGACCGAAACTGAACAACTATTCACATTTCATAGTTCTAAAAGAAGTTGCAAACATCTAGTTACCATTTTTAACACACAAAAGATGGTTGTATGTTTGATGAATCATCTTACAACAATGTCAAGTGAAGTAAGTGCACAAAGAATACATAAACAGCAGGAACACATCAAAATCAGAATCTTCATAGGATGAGTATATAGTAATACCTCAGGAGCCGAAATTTCTTTTCGAATTGGGTTGAGTTGACTCGAGAAGTATGCACTAACTGGGATTTAGGAAGATCTCAGTTGCCGTAGTCTTGAGATTGTTAAATCCGGAGGGCCAAAACTGTCCAATATAGCGTTTGCTGATGGAAACTCGGCCCTGGATGTCAGCCTGTAACAAAATGGAGAGATCAAAAGACAAAACTCATATTCGTTCGCTGTGATTTAACAAACCAAAACCCCAACGGGCTCAGTATATCCCAAAGCTGAGGTAGGGTCCGGGGTATTTACCACAAAGAGTAAAACAGTTTTTTCCGTTAAAACCCATGGCTTGTGAAAAGTGTGTGAAAGAGAGACCGATAAGATAATATTTGGAAAAAGGTTGGGTCATTGTGATTTAGTGAATTTTACAATTCCGTCAACGTGGTTCTAATTTTGAACGACTTGGATTTAGTTTCAGAAGCAATGATACCATTACTTTTAGAGTGAATTATGGATTTGGTCCCTTAGTTTTTCTTTTTACTGATTAGGGTCCCTATGGTATGTTTATTATGGATTGGGTCCTTGTAGTATTCAATTTGTCTTGGCCATGGTCTCTCTGACTAACATAAAATAAATCCGTTAACTCAGTTAAATTAAGGGTCATTTTAGTCTTTTTGCCTTTTTCCTATAAAAAATGTAAAAACAATATTTTTTGTTATATGTGGCTTTAATTGAAATAGTTAGTTTTATTTTTTTCTGTTTTCCGTCTCTTGACTGTTACCTATAAATAGTTGGGTCATCCTCATTTGTAAAGCTAGTCTCAATTTCGTAAATAAGATTCCTTCCATTCTCTCTACATAGCTTTCTCTAATTTCTCAACAAACTGGTATCAGAGCCTAGGGTTCCTTCAAATTGCTGATCGCTAAACCCCTCAGTGCCTTCATCGCTTTCATTAATCGTCTTTCTGTGGGGAATCTATTGGGTCTATTTTGGTGTTCGATTCAAGGTGGAATTTTCCCAATTCTGAAATTGATGGTGTAAATTGACGATTTTAGTAGTCAATTTGAGGAAAACGGCATCAACAGTCAAATCTTTAAAATTCATCGGTCTAAATTGATTCTTCTTCAATCAATGTCGTCGTTGAGTGTTTTAATTGGTGGTATAGACTGTGTCCAACAGTCAACCTTGATGTTTTGATTTCTTGACTGGTCGTTTTTGGGGATCAATTTTTGGATTACCGATTTTTAACAGCCAATTAAGAAATTGTCGACTCTTTTGAAGATTAGTCTGGATCTTTGTTCTTGATTGCTCAACATTGAACCTTGTACCATAGTTCTCTCAAGATTTTAAGAAAATGCCTCCACAAATGATCAAGATAGACAAGTTTACAAGAAATAACAACTTCAGCTTATGGAGAATAAAGATGAGAGCTCTCCTAAAACAACAAGGCATCTGGATTCCCTTGCCCGGTGAAAGGCGTGAAGGGATGGCTGAATTTGAGTTTGCACAACAAGATGAGAAGGCTCACTCTACCATCTTATTGTCTTTGGCAGATGAGGTGATTTATGAAGTTGCCGATGAGGAGACTGTTGCGTCTTTATGGCAGAAACTAGAGAATCTCTACATGACCAAGTCTTTAACAAGCAAGTTGTTGTTAAAGCAAAAGGTTATTCTCATTATGAATGAAAGAGGGAATCCCTTTGAAGGAACATCTTGAGGAGTTAAACTCCATTTTTATGGATTTGAAGAATGTTGAAGTCAAGATTGAAGATGAAGATGCCGCCCTCATCTTATTGGTTTCGCTGACCATTTCATATGAAAATTTTGTCAACTCGTTCGTTGTTGGTAGAGACACAATTACAATGGAAGAAGTTCGTTCAAGTTTGCACTCACGAGAGTTGCGACATAAAGCTTCAGGAAGTAGTTCCAAAATTCCATCGGTTGGCTTGTCGGTGGTAAACGAAGATAGAGACAGAGGTAGAAATAAAAGCCGAGAGAAAGGAAAAGGGAAGTGGAAAATTAGAGGCCGATCAAGATCGAAGACTAGAGGTCCAAGTGGAAACCCAACGCATAGCAGTCATTATTGTAAAGAACCGGATCATTGAAAAAATGAGTGTCCAAAACTGAAGTCGAAAGGATCCGTTGCAGTAGCAAAAGATGATTTAGGTTCGGAGGCTGATTTGGTGCTCCCGATGGTTGATTGCAAAAGTAAGTCAGAGATATGGATTCTTGATTTCGCATGTTCATTTCACATGACACCACATAAGGATTGGTTTAACACTTATGATAAGATTGCAACCAGAAATGTCTTGATGGGAAATGACATGTCGTGCAATGTTGTTGGAATTGGATCGGTGAGCATTAAATTGCATGATGAGATAGTGAGAACTCTAACAGATGTTCGTCATGTACCTGGGATGAAGAAAAACTTAATCTCTTTGGGAGTGTTCGACTCAAAAGGCTTCAAGTACACCGGTGAGGGTGGAGTAATTCGGATCATTAAGGGTGCATTAGTAGTGATGAAAGGAGTAAAGAGAGGTACCTTGTATGTGCTGGAAGGTAGCACGGTTGTTGGATCAGCAGCACCAGCCATTAATTCTGTAGAGAATGAGTCAGATTTGACACGTCTGTGGCACAAGAGGCTAGGGCATGTTAGTGAGAAAGGCATGGTAATTCTCCGGAAAAAAAGAACTTATTGGAGGTCATGGAGTTGCTGAATTGGGCTTTTGTGAGCATTGCATCTTTGGAAAACAAAGGAGAGTGAGTTTCTCAAAAGTTGTCCATACAACCAAGTCGACTTTAGATTACGTACACACTGATTGTTGGGGTCTCTCGCAAGTTCCTTCACACTTCCTTTCAATTATTGATGACTACTCGAGGATGACTTGGGTATTCGTCATGAAGCATAAGAGTGAGTCATTTGAGAAGTTTAAAGATTGGAAAGTTCTCATCGAAAATCAAGTTGGGAAGAAGATAAAGCGGTTGCGAACGGACAACGGATTGGAGTTTTGTTCAAGTGAGTTTGATCGGTTTTGTAAAGATGAAGGAATTGCAAGGCATCGAACGGTTAGGCACACTCCACAGCAGAATGGAGTACCCGAAAGGATGAATAAAACGCTGCTGGAAAGAGTGAGATATGTGCTGTCAAATGCAGGGTTGAACAGAAGTTTTTGGGCAGAAGCGTTAAACACGGTTTGCTACTTGGTGAATAGATCCCCGACAACGGCAATTGATTGTAAAACTCCTATCGAGGTGTGGTCCGGTAAGCCGGCTGATAACACGGGCTTAAGAATATTTGGTTGTCTTTCATACTACCATCTTAGTGAAGGAAAATTGGAACCAAGATAAAAAAAGGGGCTGTTTATGGGATACGGAATTGGAGTAAAGGGCTACAGAATTTGGTCTCTTGATAAAAGAAAGGTGATTCTCAGCCGTGACATAGTGTTTGATGAGGAGAGTATGTTACGTGGTGTGAGGTGTTCATCTACTCCAAGTGTTCAAGAGGACAGTGTGTCCGAACAGGTGGAGTACGAGTTAAATGGTCCCGATGAAGGCGAGAATACTGCTGGACAACGCAGTAAATCGCCTCAACCAGAACCTGTTGTGCATGAAAATCAGCACCAGCCCTGTAGAATTTCGATCTATAGCATTAGATAAGCCCCGAAGACAAGTTGGTAGACCAGTTCGATATGGTTTTGATGACATGGTGGCCTATGCTCTGCAAGTTGCTGAAGTAATGGAGTTCTTTGATCCATCTACTTACAAAGAAGCAATCACAATGAAGGAGGTTGATGTGTGGATAACAGCCATGAGTGAAGAGATAGAATCCCTTCACAAGAATAGAACTTGGGGATTAGTGAAGTTACCTCAAGGCAGAAAAGTTGTGACCTGTAAGTGGATCTTTAAGCGGAAAACAGGGCTGCCAGGAGCTGAAAGTGTGAGATACAAGGCTCGTTTGGTGGCTAGAGGTTATAGCCAAGAGCAAGGGGTTGATTATAATGAAATTTTCTTGCCGGTGGTGCATCATACTTCCATTTGGGTGTTGTTGGCACTAGTAGCACAAGCAAAATTGGAGGTGGAAATTGGACGTCAAAACGGCTTTCTTATATGGTGAGCTTGAAGAGGAAATCTATACGAGTCAACCGGAGAGCTTTGTAGCTCAAGGTAAAGAAAACTATGTTTGTAAGCTCAATAAAACTCTTTATGGTTTAAAGCAATCTCCGAGACAGTGGTAAAAACGTTTTGGCAGCTTTATGGTAAGTCATTTGTTTACTAGAAGCCCTTATGATTGTTGTATATATCATAAGAAAGGTGTTGATGGGCCACATGTATCTACTACTTTATGTGGACGATATGTTAGTAGCGGCTCGTGATATGGCCGAAATTAAGAAGTTAAAGACTCCTTAATTCTGAGTTTGACATGAAAGATTTGGGGCTGCTCGAAAGATTCTCGATATGGAGATTATCCGAGATAGATCTAGACGTAAACTTTTCTTGTCATAGAAAAGTTACATTTTGAAGATACTTTCTTGATTTGGTATGGCTTCTGCAAAGCCTGTGAGCACACCTTCATCGGCAAATTTCAGATTATCAGTGGCTTTGGCACATCAAACCGAGGCTGAGGCGGAGTATATGAGCAAAGTTCCTTATTCTAATGTTGTAGGAAGTCTTATGTATGTCATGGTCTGCAGTAGACCTGACATAGCTCATGCTGTTAGTGTTGTTTCACGTTGCATGGCTAATCAGGGGAAAAAACATTAGGTTGCCGTGAAACGTATTTTTCGTTATCTCAAAGGCACAGCTGATGTAGGTCTCATTTATGGAGGAGGAGATTGTATTGTGGCTGGATTTTCTGATTCTGATTACGCAACAGACCTTGACACACGGAGATCATTAACGGGACATGTGTTCACTGTTGGAGATGCCTTAGTGAGCTGGAAAGCGATGTTACAGCCGTTTGTTGCTTTGTCTACAACAGAGGCTGAATATATGGCTCTTATGGAGGCTGCAAAAGAAGGGATTTGGCTGAAAGGATTGCTTGGAGATCTTGGGTTTCATCAAGATCAGACTGTAGTTTTTTGTGATAGCCTGAGTGCTCTTTGTCTTGCAAAAGACCAGGTGCATCATGAGTGAACAAGACATATAGATGTTCGTTATCACTTTATACGTTTGGAAAGGAGAATTAAAGTGAAGAAAGTGATGAAAGTGATGAAAGTGAAGACTGATGACAATCCAGCTGATGCACCAACGAAACCAGTTTCTTTGAATAAGTTTAGGCATTGTTTAGAACTCCTAAACGTTGATATCTAGAAGTAAATTTTTTGTACTAGAATTAAAGCCAAGGTGGAGATTTGTTAGATGTGGCTTTAATTGAAATAGTTAGTTTTATTTTTTTCTGTTTTGCGTATCTTGACTGTTACCTATAAATAGTTGGGTTATCCTCATTTGTAAAGCTAGTCTCAATTTCGTAAATAAGATTCCTTCAATTCTCTCTACATAGCGTTCTCTAATTTCTCAACATTTTTACACACACAAATATATAGATGAAGGATTGTGTGAGAATAAGAGTTAAGTAAGAAGCGTAAAAAGGGACCTGGACCCTTGATCACTTTTAATCTCACCCCCGCCCCATGAATTGCATGAATTACGCTTCTCACAGGGAATTGATCCGGTGCATCTTGGTGCATCGCATTAGTGTTGATCTTCAATTAATATTGATCCAAGGGTCCAGATCCCTTCTTACTCTTCTCACCATAACTTCCATTCTCATAGGAATCTGACCCTATATATACACATAGAATATCAAAATAAATAAAATAAGATATTGTTTTATGATTTGATTAGTTTAAATTAAAAAATTAAATTATATTAAAGACGATTTAATTTTATTGTTTTAGTCTTTTTGCCTATATGGATATGAAATTTGGTTGAAGTTTATATAGGAATTTATTCAATTTTAAGTAACCAAGATGATAGCATGTATGAATCTTCCTTTGGTTAAAATCTAATTAGTTGATTTTGAGTTTTTAGGTGAAGAACAATATAAAAACTAGAAACCCTAGATTTAGGATGATAAAATTTGATTTGTTGATGGTTTTTAATGATTTTGGCGTTAAAAATCATTAATAAGCTTGTTATTGCAATGGTGGAAAAAGAAACAATAAAATTAAATCGTCTTCAATATAATTATTTTTTAATTTAAGCAAATCAAATCATAAAACCATATCTTATTTTATTTATTTTAATATCCCTATTAATATATATATATATATATATATATGTATGTATGTGTGTGTGTAAAAATGACGAAGAATCGTGTGAGAATAGGAGTTAAGGTGAGAAGTGTGAGAAGGGATTTGGACCCTTGATCACTTTTAATCTCAACCCAACCAATGAATTGTGCTCTAGAAAGGAATTGATCCAGTGTATCTCATTATTACTTGATCTAGCGTTTCTCTTCGGTTAGGATTGATTCAAGGGTGTAGATCTCTTCTCGCCCTTCTCACCCTTCTTACCATAACTTCCATTCTCCGGAACCCAACCCATATAAAGCATTGTTTTTACTTTTTTTAATAGGAAAATGACAAAAAAGGCAAAAAGACTAAAAATGACCCTTGATTTAACTGAGTTAACGGATTTATTTTAACAACATTAGTCAGAGGGACCATGGCCAAGACAAATTAAATACCACAAGGAGCGAAGATCGGCACTCGCAGGCTTGAGGAGTAGCCCGAAAAAGGGAGGGACAATTTTACATATTTCTGCCAAATCCTTCTATTATTAACTATGGTTGGTACCATTTCGATGTGTTTCGATTCTTCCGACCAAATCCATAATAAACATACCATAAGGACCCTAATCAGAAAAAAAAAGAACATCAAAACAAAGGGATCAAATCCATAATTCACTCTTGCTTTTATTTTTTTCTATATTTTAATCAAATTACATGGCCTCGAAGTGTATCATTTTACTTTGGCACCAAAATCAGTTTCAATACACTAAGGGACTGTTTGTTTACCTCTTAATAATTCCATTAACAGGAAGTCTCTGAATAGCTAAAAGATCAATCTTGTTTGGCATAAAAAAGTCTCTCTTAATGGTTCTAAAACCCTCTGAATGATTTTGTATCTTGGGCCTCCCTTAATCATTCTGCGCCCTGATTTCATTCTGAACAATTACCAAACAATTATATTTCATTTTGCATCATATATAAGAGTCTCTTAATCATTCTGACCACTTAATCTTTCTGCACCAAACCATTCAACAACTGCCAAACAACCCCTAAGATTTCGTATCAGGAAGATATGCGACTCTAAAACTTAATTTCTATGTCATATCGACTAAAAAACTACAACATTTGACTCCATAAAATTAAATGCTCAAGAGAGAGAAATGGTTTTTTTAATTGTTCCCACCAATGAGATTAAATGTATGATCATTTCTATATAAAATTTATTTGAAAATTTGTTGGGACACTAAATATATTGAATATTTTATAATATAATTAATGTTGAAATCTCCAAAATAGAGGAACTATTGGAATTCAATGTAATTTTTTTGGTGATTTTAACTTTTGCTTCTCCATTTACAGAATATTTTATAATATAATTAATGTTGAAATCTCCAAAATAG